TTTTTTTTTTTTTTTTTTTTTTTTTTTTTTTTTTTTTTTTTGCTTTCATCTCTTTTTATGTCCAAGTGATAAAACCACTTTACTGTGCGGTAGACCCAGAGGTCCTTGGGCTCTGCCTCTTGCTAGCTGTGTGACTTTGAACAAGTTATTTAACCTCTTTACTGTCTCAATTTTATCATCTGTTCAAGGGGAGGGTATCGCCTACTTCCTAAGCGTTGTGTTGGGAAAATTCCTGGTGCACCATAATTTGTATGGAGCACACATCCATGTGCCTGGCCTCCTTAGGGCTATATGGCTGCTTCTGTCCCTGCAGAGTTTGAACTTGGACCCTCCTTCAACCTCTCTGCCCCATCACTCCATTACTCTTAAAACGTATGTAAATGCACTTCACTGAATGGAAACCTTATTATTTTTATTTCCTTTCTCCCAGTTTTATTGAGACCTTAATATTTATTCTTAAATGGCCTTACACTTTTTATTGTAAAGTCTCCCACTGTGAAATCCTGGGGGACAGGAACCCATATTGGGTTTTCTGTCATCTCCCATAGGGTACTACATGATGAGGGGGAAGGGGGTAATTTATCATTAATGAAATAAAAAGACAGAAAACTTCTAGATAGGCTGACGGCTGGGGCTCTCCCAGTACTGGGACCATCCAGGGCTCATCCCCTTAATTCAGACTTAATCCTCCCTTCTCTATCCAGCCAGCACCCAGGGCCAGTCTCAGGCCACACTACGACTAGCTAAAACCCTTTCTCTTTTCGGGTCTCCAGCACACAGCCTGCCTCCTGCCGGGGATCCAAAGGATGGAAACTAGCCCTAGAAAGTTCTAAAGCTCCTTCTGCAGAGTGCATATCCTAGCCTTTACAGTTCCTGGGAGCCCCCCCGCCCACCCCCAACCCCTTGAGGCCCAACCAGAAGCCACTCTCTGGGAACCTTTTGTGTAGTGAGTGATGAGGCCTGCCCATTGCATTTCAAATTGCTTGTGTTTAATTCTGGCCAAGCCACTCACTCCTAGCGGTGTGACCTCAGGCAAATGTCAGTTCTTTGTGTATAAGACAGAATTAATAGTCATTGTGATAATCAGTTTTTAGTATTCGGCTGTTTTTTAAGTTCTGAAACATTGATTGGTGTGATATTGTTACCGTACCTAAAATAACCCCAGTTTGAATCATTTTCATGTCACGATTACGGTCAGTGATTTGAATAGTCAGTTTCTGTGCAAAGACTCACGGATACTCTGCAAATGTGTACAGATCCTCTCCCTGTTCTCAGTAAGTGTCTTTGTTGAGCTACAGTAGCGTTTCTGTTACAAGCGTGTTACTCTGGGTCAAAGACTTTCCAAACAAGTGAATCAGAGTATGAGAAAAGTGGAAATTGACTTGTGGAGTTCTCCTTCTAGGCACATGATGTCTCTGTAACCAAAACTGTAGTCCCCTGGCACTAAAAGCAGGCGGACTTGGCAAAATAACTGGGGGGAAAAAAACCTGTTTAGAAAGATCTCAAATTTATCAGACAAAGGATGGGAATGTTTGGAGAAGAAGGTGCTTGAGTCTGTCTCCTCTGTCTGGTCTGTTTGCCAGGGAGCAGCTACAGTGTTTCTTGGAAAACTGAAATCAGGGCGTACCGCTGTCCCCACTCCTGTCCTCCTGTCCCGAATAGGAGCCAGAGCCCCTTCTGTGGTCCGCTCCCCTCACAGCCCCTCCCTGTCTCCCTCAGAGCTCTCAGCCCAGCCTCACTGGTTTCTTTGGTCTGTACGTGTAATGCCCCAAACCTCAAGCCTCTGCACCTGCTGTTCCCCTAATACCCACAAGGCACCCACCTTCCCTTCCTTTAGGCTTCTGCTCAGGGAAGCCCTCCCGAGCCCCTCCACTTGAAATAGCAGCATGCCTCAGTTCCCATCTCACTGAAGATACCATCTGTTGTTTTCATATTTAAGGTCTGTCTGTCCTGAGAGCAGGGAGCCTGTGTTTTGTGCTTGCTGATAAAGTCTCACCACCTGCAGCAGGGCTCGTCTCATAGAGGATGCTCAATAAATACTGGTTGCTTCTACGGAGACAGGAATCCGATGAAAATCAGATTAAAAGCCTTTCTTCATCATCCCATTTCCTCTGGTCCATCAACTCGGGTGGCATCGCAAAGAGCTTCTGCAGCCGCTGAGCCTCCATGGACCCAAAGACCCTGGGATTCGATGGTGGCACTACTCATGGGCTCTGTTAGGGTTATTTTTGACAATATTATTGAGATATAATTCATGTACTATACAATTCACCCATTAAGGTATACGATACAGTGGTTCGCAGTATCACAGAATTGTACAACCATCAACACAATTTTTTTTTTAAAGATTTTATATTTATTTGAGAGAGCATGAGCAGGATTAGGGGCAGAGGGAGAGGAAGAGGGAGAAGCAGACTCCTCGCTGAGCGGGGAGCCCAGTATGGGGCTCTATTCCAGGACCCTGAGATCAGAACCTGACCCTGAGATCAGAACCTGAGCCGAAGGCAAACACTTAACCTACTGAGCCACCCTGGTGTCCTCAACAACACGATTTTAAAACATTTTCTTCTTTCTTTCCTCCCTTCCTTTCTCCTCCCTTCCCTCTTTCCCTCCCTTCCTCCCTCCCACCCCTCCCCTCTCTCCCTCCCTTCCTCCCTCTCTCTCTTTCTTTCCTCTTTTTGTCCCCCAAAGATTTTATTATTTATTTGACAGAGAGAAACACAGCAAGAGAGGGAACACAAGCAGGGGGAGTGGGAGAGGGCGAAGCAGGCTTCTGTGAGCAGGGACCCTGATGCTGGGCTCCATCCCAGGACCCTGGGATCATGACCTGATCCGAAGGCAGACACCCAACACCTAGGTGCCCTTCCCTCTTTTCTTGCTCCATAGCCAATGTGGAGCCCAACATGGGGCTTGAACTCCGGGTCCTGAGATCCAGAGCTGAACTGAGATCAAGAGTAGGACACTTAGGGGCACCTGGGTGGCTCAGTGGGTTAAAGCCTCTGCCTTTGGCTCAGGTCATGATCCCAGGGTCGTGGGATCCAGCCTGGCATCAGGCTCTCTGCTGGGCGGGGAACCTGCTTCCTCCTCTCTCTCTCTGCCTGCTGCTCTGCCTACTTGCGATCTCTGTCAAATTTAAAAAAAAAAAAAAATCTTAAAAAAAAAGTAGGACACTTAACCCACCGAGCCACCCAGGTGCCCCAGAACATTTTCATTACCTGAAAGAATGGGCAGTGCTCCCCTTAGTCTTAACTTCCAAATCCCCACCTGCTCCCCAGAGCTGGGACCCAACCAGTCTACCTTTTATCTTTACAGGTTTGCGCCCTATGGACATTCCGTGTAAAAGGAGTCCTCGAATATGTGGTCCTTTGGGACTGCCTTCTCACTCAGCATGATGTTTTCAGGGTTCCTGCAACCTGTGGCGTGTTATCAGTGTCTCGTTCTTTTTATTGCCGAATAAAAATCTCATTGTCTAAGTAGACCTCGTTTAATTTCTCTGTTCCTCAGCTGATGCACATTGGGGTTGTTTCCATTTTTGGCCACTTAGAAACAATGCTGCCATGAGCATTTGTGTACACGTCTTTGTGTGGACACATTTTCCCTTCTCGTGGCTATGCACCTAGAAGTGGAAACGCTAGACCCTTTGGGAATTCTGTGTTTAACTCTTTGAGGAATTTCCAGACTGTTTTCCTAAGTGGCTGCACCACCTTATGTTCCCACCAGGAGCGTGTAAGGGGTCCAGTGTCTCCCTGGCCTCTCCGACACGGGTTGTTAACTGCTTTTGGTCATAACCATCTCATGGATCTGAAGTGGTATCTCGTTGGGGTTTCGATGCTCATTTCCTGACGGCTGCGAACATCTTTGCGTGTGCTTATTGGCTGTTTATAGATCTCATGTGGAGAAATGTGTATTCAGGTCCTTTGCCCATTTTTTTTTTAAAGATTTTATTTATTTATTTATTTGTCACACAGAGAGCACAAGCAGGCAGAGTGGCAGGCAGAGGCAGAGAGAGAAGCAGGCCCCCCAATGGACAAGGAGCACGATGCGGGACTCGATCCCAGGACCCCGGGATCATGACCTGAGCTGAAGGCAGCGGCCCAACCACTGAGCCACCCAGGCATACCACTTTGCCCATTTTTAAACTGGGTTGTTTATCTTATTATTATTGAATTGTGAGATTATTTTATATAGTCTAGATACAAGACCCTTATCAGACATAGGGTTTGCAGAATTAGTCTCCCATTCTATGGGTTGTTGTTTTTTTTTTTTTCCCATTTTTTTTAAATGGTGTCAATCTGAAGCATAAAAATTTAAAATTTTAATCCTGTCCAATTTATGTCTGTTTTATTAAACTGCTTTAAATGTCATGTCTAAGAAACCACTGCGTAATCCAGTCACAAAGATTCATGCCTGTGTTTTCTTCTGGAGTTTTATAGTTTCAGTTGTTGTTGTTGTTTTTAAGATTTTATTTATTTATCTAACAGAGAGAGAGAGCGAGCGCACAAGCACGTAGAGCAGCAGGCAGAGGGAGAAGGGGAAGCAGGCTCCCCGCAGAGCAAGGAGTTCATCTTGGGGCTCAATCCCAGGACCCTGAGATCATGACCTGAGCCAAAGGCAGGTGCGTAACCGATTGAGCTGCCCAGGCACCTCCACTAAAAAAGTAATTTGACTGTAAATATGTAAGTTTATTTGTGGACTCTCAAATCCGTTTTCTTGGTCTATGAGTCTAGCCTTATACTAGCAACCTCACTGTCTTGATCCCTGTTGCTTTGCCGTGAGTTTTAAAGAAGTTTGGGCGCCTGGGTGGCTCAGTGGGTTGGGCCTCTGCCTTCAGCTCGGGTCGTGATCCCGGGGTCCTGGGATCAAGCCCCACATGGGTTCCCTGCTCAGCGGGGGGCCTGCTTCCCTCTCTCTCTGCTTGCCTCTCTGCCTACTTGTGGTCTCTTTCCCTCTGTCAAATAAATAAAAAAAATCTTAAAAAAAAAATAAAGAAGTGTGAGTCGTCCAGTTCTGTTCCCCTTTTTTTTTTTTTTTAAGATTGTTTTGGCTATTTGGGGTCTCTTGACTTCCCACATGAATTTTCAGATCAATGCATCATTCTCTTGAGAGAAGTCAGCTAGGATTCCAGTAGGCATTGCATTCAGCCTGCAGATTGATTTGGGAAATCTTGGCCAGCTCAATTTTAAGTCTTCAGATCTGTGAACATGGTATGTCTTTCTATTTATTTACGTTGCCATTAATTTCTTTCATCATTTTTTTTTAAGATTTTATTTATTTGACAGACAGAGATCACAAGTAGGCAGAGAGGCAGGCAGAGAGAGGGGGAAGCAGGCTCTCTGCTGAGCCGAGACCCTGATGCGGGACTAAATCCCAGGACCCTGAGATCATGACCTGAGCTGAAGGCAGAGGCTTAACCCAACTGAGCCACCCAGGCACCCTGGTACGTTACTTTTTTTTTTTTTTTAAGATTTTATTTATTTATTTGACAGACAGGGATCACGCAGGCAGAGGCAGGCAGAGAGAGAGGAAGGGAAGCAGGCTCCCTGCCGATCAGAGAGCCCGATGTGGGGCTCGTTCCCAGGACCCCGGGATCATGACCTGAGCTGAGGGCAGAGGCTTTAATCCACTGAGCCACCCAGGCGCCCCAGGTACGTTACATTTTTAAGGCATATTGCCTATTCCATCTGAAACTAATGATGTACTATAAGTTAGCTTAATGAATTTAAATAAAAAAAAAAAGACATATTACCTATTCCATGTAAGATTTAAAATTTACTATCCTGAATTGGTTCATAGTACAACGTCCTATTTCCTCCCCATAGTTTTTATTTCTGCACTGTCTCTTTTTATGTCTTTCGCCTGAGGATTTATTAGGGTTTTAAAAGAACCAGTTTTGCGTTTGAGACCACTCTTTTCTTTGTTCTCGATTTTATTGTTTCTTTTATTCTTTTTTGGGATTTTTGTTTTGTCATCCCCCTCCCCCCACTTCCTGAGTTGACTGCCCAGCTCACTGACTTTTGGTCTTTATTTCTAACATACGTATTTAAGGTTATAAATTTTGCCCTAAGTATTCCGGTAGCCATATCCTCCCAGTTTTGTTATATGGTGTTTTCCTTTCTTCTTTGACTAGTAAATACTGAGAAGTGTATTTTCAAGTTTTGAATGCCTGGGGATTTGCTTATGTTTTGTCTCACTGATTTTTCACTACATTGTAATGTAGCCAGAGAATATGATATGCATGATGGTAATTTTGGGGTATTTATTAAGACTTGTGGTCAGTTTTTGAAAAGAGTCCATATGTATTCTTTAATTATCACATTTGGAGCTCTATAAGGGTAGTTTCTTTCTTTCTTTTTTTTTTTAGATTTTTAATTTTTTAAATATTTTATTTATTAGAGAGAGGGGGAGGGAAATTGAGAGCATGAGCAGTGGGAGGGGCAGAGGGAAGGTGAAAGGGAGCAGCAGACCGTCTTCTGAATGCAGACCACCCCCTCTGCACGCCCAGTGGCCAGGCTCTGTCCTAAGACCCAGAGATCATGATCTGAGCCGAAATCAGATGCTTAACTGAGCCACCCAGGTGCCCCAAGATTTTTTATTTTATTTTATTTTGTAGGTAATCTTTACACTCAACATCAGGCTCAAACCCAAGATCCTGAGATCAAGGATCCCATGCTCTTCCTGCTGAGCCAGCCAGGCGCCCCTGTGAAGGTCCTTTAAATCTTCATCAACACTGATTTTTGTCTGCTTGACCTAGCTCTCAGCTGGTGAGGGGGGTATTTTAATGTCTTTCCCTGTGATTGTGGATTTGTCAAATTTATTTTCGTAAGTAAGTCTGTAAGTTTTTGCAGTGCTTATTTGGAGACTGTTATTGTGGGCATCCAAGTTTAAATCCTTTTATCATCTTGGTCATCTGATCCTTTTAACATCAAATCTTGACCCTCCTTTTTCTTACTAGTGTTTTGTTTTGTTCTGTTTTTGCCTTAAAGTCAGTTTGAATATGTCCATATTAATGTGCGAGACACACCTGCATACCAGCTTTCTTTTGCCTTGCCTGTTTTCCCCTCATTTCCTTACATTTAGCTTTTCTGAGTCTTTATAGTGAGCCTCTTGCAAGTAGCCGATGGTTACATATTAGTAATAGCATATAATCATTATACGCGAGAATTGGCAAGTTAGTCCATTTCCATTTATTGTGATTACTGATGTGTTTAAATTATTTATGTCCTTGTATTAAATTGGTCAATATCTTTTATTCCTTCTCCCAACCTTTCTTATAATTCTATTTCAAATATTTTAGAAGTTGTCATGCAGTACCCAGCATGCATTTTTTTAAAAGATTTTTATCTATTTATTTGACAGACAGAGATCACAAGTAGGCAGAGAGGCAGGCAGAGAGGGGGAAGCAGGCTCCCCACTGAGCAGAGAACCAGTTGCGGGACTTGATCCCAGGACCCCGGGATCATGACCTGAGCCAAAGGCAGAGGCTTAACCCACTGAGCCACCCAGGATGCATTTTTGATTCAACAAAACCTAACGTTAATCCCAAACAAGATAAGGGCCCTAGAACCCTATATATATATTTTTTTAAAGAATTTATTTATTTATTTGACAGACAGAGATCACAAGTTGGCAGAGAGGCAGGCAGAGAGAGAGGTGGAGGCAGGCTCCCTGCCGAGCAGAGAGCCCAAGGTGGGGCTTGATCCCAGGAGCCTGAGATCATGACCTGAGCCAAAGGCAGAGGTTCAACCCACTGAGCCACCCAGGCGCCCCGAACTCTTTATGTTCTAAGTTAGCTCAAACTCAGACCCTGAGATCAGGAGCTGCCCACTCCTCTGTCTGAGCCAGCCAGAAGGCGCCCCTCTGCTGTCGGTCTTCCTGATGTAGATTTGGAATGTTGGTGAGGTCCCATGCCAATGGCCGAGAAGAACTCTAGAGTTGTCTGTGGTGCAAAAAGGTCATTTTATTTAAGGCACAGAGTCAAGACCCTTGGGCAGGAAAGAGCTGCATTGGGGTTCTGAGGAACAGCTGATAATACACTTGGGAGTTGGGGGGGTGGTAAGGAAAAAGGGAGGTGCCTCAAGGCCTTTCATCTGCTAAAGGAGACCCTCAGGCCACTGGAGGCCTTGCTATTGTCAAGCTAAGGTTGTTTTTCCCTCTGGCAAAACATTAACATTAAGACAGCCTGGAGGGGCAGCTGGGCAGCTCAAGATGGTTCTGCCTTGGCTTAGGTCCCCTTCATGATCTCCAGGTCCTGGGATCGAGCCCCACCTAAACAGGAAGTCAGCTTCTCCCTCTCACTTTGCCTCTCCCCTGCTTTGTGCTCTCTCTCTCTCTCTCTCTCTCTCTCAAATGACTTAGAAAAAGACAGTTGGGAATTTCCTGGAGGAATGTCACATATATCCCACGTCCAGGAGTCTGGGGTGCAGGGAGTGGGGAGGCTGGGGATGGTTTTGGGGTGTCAGCTATCCTCCGCTTGCCT